TTGAAATTTCTGTTTCTAAATATAGATTAACACTCTAATATTTATTAAGAGTCAAGATTATGCACACTAATCTCTTACTAAAATATATTTAATATTTATTTTTAATTAATATTTTATATATTTTAAAGATAATAGAAAAGAAAATTAAAAAAAAAAAGCTAAGGCAATCCAGAATAATTTTCAAAGGAAGCCTAAATTTAAGTAGGATTTTAAATTCAATTTGTCTTGTTGATAAAACAATAATTTTAATTTGAATTCATTTAGTCTTTAGTCTTTCTTTAACCATGAAAAGTAAATAGATAATCACAATTTGAATTTAAAGAAGAAAATACTAAAATAACTAGAAAAAATCCCAATTTGAAATTAAATTTAAAAAAGAATGATTAAAATGTTAGTAAATAGAATAGTTATTCAGACAGTAATAAATTTTCAGCTCCTTTTACCGTCCTTTTTTAGTCTTTAAGCATTAACCGCAACAAAATTTAAAAGAAAAGTATGGATCAATTGTAATGCCCCAATCTCATATTATTAAAAGAAAAGTATGATCTAAGGGTCTGTTGATCATGGTCCCAATGCTTTAGCCCATATCATTTCACTCGTCTAGTTGTCTAGCCCTACTAAATTAGAGAGTCGAATGAGAATTGCACTGAGGTTAGGGACGGCTAGGGACAAGCGGAGTTGTGCTGCAATTCATGAGTTAATAATTTTTTTTTTTTTCCAGTAGAAACATAGATAAGTTTATTAATAAAGGAATCGAGATTACATCGAATCCCTATGCAGTGGCTAATATAGTCGAAAGGAAGTTATACCAATTACACTTGTTCAAGACAGATTTGCACAATAAAGCAAAGAGGTCCATTTATAACTTGGGATTGTACAAACAATCACAGTAGGGGGTATATACAGAGTTACATATGTAAGAAGATTACCTCCTGAGGCAGACCCATATTAGGCAGGGGTTAAGTAAAGACCCTAGGCCTCTCTCAAAAAATTTTAATAGTTTTAAAAGTTTATAATTGTAAGGCCCTAAATATATATTAGGAGAAAAATAATAGAGAAAAGTGAAATTTAAGATATCTTAGTATTTTAAATTTAAAAATTAATATAAAATTATTTAAATATTTTCAATAAATTTTTTTACGTGTTAATTTATTCAAAATATTAAAATTTTTTCACTACCATTTTTGACAATTTAATTATCAATATTAATAAGGTCTTTTAATTTTAGACCTTGTTAATATAAAAATACAATAAGTCTTAATAATAAATTATTGTTCTGGCTTCGATTATCCCTACAAATAACTTGAGCTAGTAGACAATCCCAACGAACTATTATGTCAACTTCAATAGTGAGCAAGTGTTTAAGCCTTTAGCAGTCCACTACTCGCGTAAGTCCCTATGGCACCAGAAAAGCTAGCGCAAAGAGAAAGAGGGGCCTGGTAGTTCCCTCTCTTGCCTATTCATTAATTGTACGCCATCTCTAGATCATCCAACTATCTCGCCCACCTCTCTGGCCTTCGAGAATTCCTCTGTCCATTAAACCACTACTTAGGAAACAACTACTAAGAATGATTTTGTTTCCGTATATCTCTAAAATATATATTTTTTAAGCGTTACACAATTAAATATGTTCATAATAAAAAAATATATAAAGTAAACTTTCTTGTAACTTTTTCACTTCTCATGATTTGTCAAAGAATAAAGGATAATTATTAGGAGACCGTCTTCAAGATCGACTAAGGCCGAATGGTACGTGGCAGGCTGGCAGACCCAGCTCCCTTAATTTCTTTCGTCTTTGTTATGGTTAATTAAGAATTGGTCCCTTAATTTAACAATTTAAACTCATTTTACTTCCTCAATTTTTTTGAGCTATCTTTTAGTTTCCTAACCTTATTTAAAATTTAGTTTGACACATGTTAGGACTTAGATTATTTTAAATTTTAATACTTAGAATGTCAGGATTTAAATTAATTTTTAAAATTTTACCAGTTTTTAGGGTGTTGGGATTTAAATTTTTTAAAATTTAACATTTAAAGTGCAAGTTAGGATTTAAAATTTAAGTATTAAGGTTTATATTATTAAGTTTTTAGCATTTAATATTTATATTTAAGCTTTAATAACTTAAAAATTAAAATTGCAGAACTTAAAAACAAAACTTAAAAGTTATTATATCTACAAAAAAAAAAAAAAAAGCTAACTATAGGAATCAATCGGCTGAGGACTGATTGGTCCCTATAGCATTACTCAAAAATAAAAGTTAAAACTCAAAAAAAACCTTAAATTACTGATAAAATTAAAATGCAAATAAGGGATTTGACCATTGATTTTAAATTTTTTTATGAATTTTAAATTATAAAAAGTGTTAACTGAGAATAAATTTTTTTAAAAATATTGACTGTGAAAAAGATAATTTGCAAGATGCAAATAGGAATTTAGTCTTAAAAAAATTACAAGAAATCATTAGAAATCAACTTCAGCTAAAACTTTGGATCTTAGATTTTGGGGGCTGTTTAACTTACCAAGTGGATTATTAGCATGACAAGAAATCCCGCTTGTAGTAAATTAGGTTGAAGTTGCTTGAGGGCAAGAAAGAGGAATCAACAGGGGCCGCTTGGTAGGCCACCTGTTTCCACTACTAGGACGGTATGGTTTGTATCTGAAATTGAAATTCAACTAAAAATTTCTGGTTTTATCCACAAGCAGTTTTGGGAAATTTAATAAAATTTCCTAACGCCCCCAAAGGAAAAGACGAATAGAAACATTTTAAGAACAATTTTGAAGCCTTGGGTCTTTTTCTGGACATTTGAAGTTTCGGGAGGTATATAGGTTTGAATAGTTTTCCTTTTTTTAAAATAAAAAATAGAGTTATATTATAAAATAATAAAATCAAAATTACATATAAATTCTTATATAGCGGTACATATAGGTATAGTAAAAGTACATCTTACTACATAAGATACAAACAAAAACTATAAACTTGATGAATATAAACAATTAAGTATAGAGTTGCATCTACGTATTAGCAATTGTCATAGAGGCATAAATAGACCTACTAACATTAAAAAAAAGCCACTATAAGTATTTTGAGTTATTGGACATTCCCAACTGTTATGTCAACTTCTTTGGGAGAGAATGTAGTTCAACGAAGAATTGTCTCCATGCCACCAACTGAATGTCATATCGAAGAGAAGATGTATTATAGTCCAAAGGGGAGTTGGAGTCTCCTCCATGGATCATTGAAGTCATGTTGGAATTAATTCAAAAGAGAGTTTAATTCTTCATAAGCCTCTCCACCGTGCCACTAATAGCTAAATTAAGTGCTATAACAGGTTCAAGCCTAGCTAGACCCACCACCATGCTATCATCCTCTTCAAATTGAGGCAAAACTCAATGAAAACCCAGGCAAAGACCTCTAAAAGAGGGAGACAAAAGAACCCCACAAAAAAGAGGGCAACTTTTAGCTTTATTCATTTTCCTTGATTGTTGAACGGAGAAAAGAGGCGGTAACTAGAGAAAAAAGAGGAACAACAAAAGAGAGGAACAACAAAAGAGAGTATTTGGGTGAGAGAGGGGAGAGGGCGAGGCAAGGAAGTTTGAATAGTTTTTAAAACAATATTTTATTATCTACAGTTTCTAAACTATTTTTACATAGTAAAGGTTTTTTTTTTTTTTT